ATATATATATATATTATATGTATATTATATTATAGATATGTACTACACGCGCACACACGCCCGCACAGACCCACACACACGCGTGCGCATATATTTTACTCAGAACGAGTATGTTCAACGTGTTATCTGTATTTCTATCTACATATTTCGGTTGTAACTACCTTGAAGGTGCACACAAATATGAGCAGCTGAACAATAAACAAACATCGAAAAGGGATTTAATATAAGTTCACAGTGTATCTAGAAATTCATATATGTGCAACAATCAAAATGTTTTTCTTGCAACAATCTTCGTACAAAAAAATTATTTTTTCCTATTGGATATTTTTTATTATATTTTTAAAATGGAGAAAAGGAAAATTTCGAATTTTGTCGAATTGTCGGTTGCCCGTGTAATTATTCGATTCTTTTTGTGCAACATAGAACGGTAATGATTGTGCGGATGACCGCATGGCGTAATATGTAAATGTTCCTTTTGAAAGTACCATTTTTCTAATTTCTTTACTACAGAATATTTATATTTATTAATTGTTTTTTTTTCTATATTACGCCTGTTGTTTTTCCGGATAGTTATAACACCGGCGTTTCCTCTATTTTGTCAGTGGAGCTGCCTCCTTCGTGTTTCTAAAAGTGCTACCTTCTGGTCCGAAAAAATACGTAATGTAGACTCAAGAGAAGAATTAATTTTTTTTAATAATTTTTCGATTTGTTACGTGATAACGATAATAGCTGGAAATTAATGCAACGAAACTGGAAATATTCGTTGGAACATTAAGCATGAACGATGGTAATCGATTATTGTAACGCAGCTATATCGTAATTATCCATAATCGTTAACGGTTGTTCGTTCTGTTATTCTTCAGCTTTTCTTCTTTTTTCTTTTTTTTTTTTTTTTCTCTGTCTCCGTATGTAGACTGCGTAACCTCCGGACGAGCATTTGTAACATTCAAAATCGTTGTACCGTCGCGTAAAAAACAAAATCAGTATTCTTTCAACTCCAACATCCTGTAGAATTGTACGCCGGTCTATAATTTTTACACCACTTCTTCGATTATAGAAATCAAATGTTTTCACAAGTATCAATCAATTTTTAAAAATGTATCAATCGATTAATAAATTATGCATGGCATAAAAAAGATCCTGTCTGTTTTTATCCTATCTATTGATACCCATCGATAATTGATAAAGATACAGATATGATTAGGAAATTCTCCAAATAAACAGTTTTTGCGTTGGTGTAATTTCTTTACTATTATTTCATGTGGAATATTTTCCGAAAAATTCTTAACAATTTACCGTGTGTAAGAATAAACAATTTAAATTGAACTTTAAAGTGTTATCTTTCAATTTCCCATTCTATCATAATTAATCCGATTACAACTTATCTCTTGTCACGTGTTCCAATGTCAACTCCCAACTAAACAGTAACGTTTTCGTTCGTCATCCTTTTCCAAGTTCAAAGTATCAAATTATTGTAATACGAATAGACGCAGTAGTGAACAGTATATCGATTCTATAATAAAAGTTTAGTAATTAGAAACAGAATTCTATCTGTTGAAAAAGGTTAATTAACGATATTGTTTAAAATATTGATACGAAAGTGGAATACCTTACGAAACGATAAATTCTTAACTAATGCGGTGAAGTTGAAGTTGCATCGATTTGAAATGCCCTCCAATATGTCGTGGCTGTTGCCCGATTGGCGGTTACCGGTGCAGGATCGAAAGAGAAGGGAATGCGCAGAAGCACGTGGATTTGTTTAGACGACTGTCAAGCCCCTTTCGTAGCGCATTTACAAAGTCCGTGGGGTGCTTCCGGTAAGCCCCGTAGCTGGCGGCGCTTTCCCGACAAACGATACCGGGGGCCAACGGGGGCGACAAGATCCACTGTCTACCTCCCTTCACCCTCCCCTTCTCCGCGAGCCCGTGTCCCAGCTCCCCGTCCTCTCCTTACCAACAGCGTTACACCTCCGATGTGGAGACAGAGACAGAGATAGAGACAGGGGCAGGGGAGTGACGACGGCGACGATGCCCGGCGAAACGAGCGATGGAGGAGGGGAAGACATCAACGGCGGACAAGGCCGCCATATTGAATCACTCTCGTTAATTTTTGCGCAGAGGCGGTGTGAATTTTTTCTCCTTGCGCGGAAGGTAGCAGCTCAAGGTTGTGTCTGAGATTCACGATCGTGACGATCGTTTTCGCGGTTACCGTTGGCACACGTCATCCCTCGGGTCGAGTTGTGTATTGTTTTCGTGTTGTTACACGGACCAGGTAGAGTGAGGATACGATAAACGATGCGCGGATATGCCACACGAGAAAGATTCACGGAAACATGCGGAAATCGTGCGTGTATGATCGCGAGGCAGTGAAGTGTGCTCGTGATAGGGAGGGACACTCGAGAGAAGTGAAGTGTATGCGTACACTGACTGCGGTATGTGGTGTGCGCCATGTCATTGTACGTAAGCGATAGTATAGAGTAATATATCGTAGTGGAGTGGAGTGAAGTGGAGTGGAAAGCGACCGACCGTCTTGCCTGCCTAACTGTCTGCCTAACAGCGTGCCTGCCTGCTTGGTTGTCTGCTGCTTATCTACCGCTCATTCGTTTGCCCGCTTTGTGTATAATTGACTTGTATGTCAAAGCGATTTACACAAATTCGGACCAACTTTTGATTGACCTCCTCTCAGGTACGTGTGCCTTCCTGAACGCGGGAGGCGTAGGCGTGTGTGGGGGTCAAAACACTCCGTGCATCGTTCCAGAGAAGGTGCGATTATCAATGTAGTAGCAAATATGTTGTGCACGCGGAAACATAAAGAGTCGCGTGTCGCCGTGTCGTGTGAGCTGGCGTCACACGTCGCCAGCGAGCGTTCGTGTACAGCTCGTTCGACACTGAGCCACTGATATTTTCAGTCGCACGCCTGATTAATTGCTATCGAATGATTTTGACTTTTTTTTCTTGTTCCATCATCGAATTCTGATATTTTCGTTGATGATCTAACAGAATTGCGCTGATAATTTATTAACGTACTGAAAATGATAAAACCTGGGATGTTGAATTCTTATGAATCTGTGTTACATGATTATGTTGCATTTGTTATTTTTTATAATTACTTTTTGAATTGTATGCACATGTTGGTTCACTTGTTTGAGTACAGGTGATAATGTACTATTTTTATTTTACATGAAATAATTTAGCTGAATTTTCGGTAATTTACTTGTCGATAAAATTAACTTGCCGATTTATTGTAACCGTGGCGTACGTTTATTAGGTTAGGAAGAAAGTACAAGATTGTCGTAGGTCGCTTTGGGATTAGCGAACTACTTTGCGGACTTTGTACCATTTATTTTATTTGTAACATTTTCATTTAACATAGGAGAAAAAAATATTGTTAAAAATAATATAGGAAGTTTTTATAATGAATATTTCAATATTTTTAGAAGAAATATATAGTTAAGTGAAATCACTATTTTACATTTAATGAAAAAACAGACATTAATGTTATTATATATGATTTACTTTTATATATTATTTTTCTATAGACCAAATAGTAAAACCATGAAATATGAATGAAAAATGCTGTGACATCAATTCAAGAGTTTAGAGATCCTATACCGTCACGTGATCTGGAAAGTGTGCAAGGCGGGAGATCCGAGAGAAACTCCGTGAACTAGTTAATTCTTTTGCATTAGGAGGATTTGAAAACGTTGCTTACATGATATTTAAAAAAAGAAAGCTTATTTGTAAAAGCAATCCTTCGACGTATCAATATGTATATAAGGATGAAAAAAGTATGTAGTAAATAAAGTCGTATTACCTAGAGGTCGCGCTCGGTTTCTTGATAAAATAGTAATTACGAGATGCGTGGACGATATCAAATACGTTGCAAAAACATTGCAACTCCTTCGTCCCTCCGGTCGGGAAGGCCGGCAGTGGGGACTCCGTCGAAAAATCGATTTCCCGTAGGGCATAAGGGTGCGGGAGGAGTGAGGGAAAGGGAGAAGTACGGAGACGAAATTCGGGAAAATCCGCAGAGAGAGAACGAGAGAAAGAGGAAGAGTGGGAGGGAGGCGGAGAGAAAGAGAAAGAGATTGGTTTCTAGCCCGTTCCGATGCCGCTCGTGTGGGTGAGTGGCTAACTCGTGCGGTAGGGGGTAGACCGTCGACGGGGTGAGGGGAGAAATAATTAATGTGCGACCGTACCTCTCCCCTCGCGGTACAGGGCACCCCTCTCCCCCTTCCACAGTCTTGTACCGCTACGCTTAGCTGCCATTGTGCCGAGACGCCACTTCCGAAGCATCAAATTCAATTCTTCGATTTCGTACCGCCACTTCCTTGCGAAAATTTCGTGAAAGAGAGAAAGCAAAGGGCACGCGGCATATTGTGCTGCCGGCGGCTTAGTAAAGCGCGCCAATATTTGCCTCGTGTACGATCTTGAAGAACATATATTCTTCTTTGAACGTCTTTGAATTCCACGGAGGTTAGGTTAGGACATTGCTTCCGTGGATATCGGCCGATTGCCTTGCAAGCGAACACGATCTTTTATCGCGCGTTTTAGCCCGCGAGTTGATCGCGTTACCGGTGGTGCTACTGTGTTGTGATTGCGTCCTTCGCAAGCTGAGACGGTTGCTGCTCGAAATAAAGAGGGAAGAGCACGATGCTCCGGTGTATATGAACGGAATGCTCGAACGGAGATTTTGGTAACCCAGTTATTTTTATTCCGGTGAATCTTTTCTATCGCTTTCAAATCACAGCATTGCGAAATGATGTCTCACCGTTCGTGTCGACTTCTTTGTAGTGTTTTTTTCCCTAGCGTACATACTCGCCGTGTCATTATTATTAAAATCGATTCAATTAAAACGAGTCAAATAAATCTTAGTTATAAATACGTTCCTGGGTTTTTATAGAGTTGCTGCATTTGAAAGAATGGAAGCCATGGATTTGGACGGAGATGCGGTAGTGGACTTGAGTGTTAGGTAAACTGAAAGAAACCTCGATTTTTCCCTCTTTTTTTAAATTTTGAATTAATTGAACATAGCACTGTATAAAGATACATTGTTGAGTACTCTGTCAATATAAAGCTATTGTTGTTGACATATTTGTGATAATAAATTGGCAGATTATTGTATATGCAATTGTTAAAATTGAAATAAATAATATGTTATAGTAGTTTATAACACAGTTTTTAAAACTAGTATTGATTAACACTGATAGTAAGTACAAGTTTTACATCAAAGTAGATTATTCTTTATTTTAAGATAATAAAATTCTTTATATTTTTCATGTTTATTTTTACATTCAATATATAGAGCTATATATTGTTTCCTTTATTAAATTATTAACTTTGTCATCATAATTTTTTTCTCTATGTAATATATGTTTTCAGCAGCAGTGGTAGAAGAAATTCTCCATCGATCACTATCAACTCTGGTGATGTAGGAGTTCCATTAGATTTAGGTGTTCATTTTTCTTCGAGTCCGAATGTGGATAGCAACATACCAGAAGCACGTAATATTCAAAATGCAGCAAGAGGCATTTTAGCTCCCAAGTCTGGAGATGATAGGAAAACACGCCGTAATCTTAGACCTAGAATTGAAATAAGTTATGCAGAAAGTCCTGATGAACGTAGAATAAATGGTTATGTGAATGGAAATGCAGACAGCGATGAAGGTTAATTATAAAAATAGCACATTTATTTATAGCTTCAGTATCATACCTTGATTATATAACTTAATACTTAATAACAATACAAAATTTTATTTATTAGGTGATATGCCTCCTTTGCCTCCAATAAAAGAGTTGTCATCAGATGAATTGGCTGAACGTGAGAGGACACTTAGAAAATTAAGGGAGGAACTTAGATCTGAGGAAATGAAATTGGTATTATTGAAGAAATTAAGGCAATCTCAACAATTGAAAGAAAACATTGCTGCTGTACCCAAAGTACCCAGTAAATTACCACCACCAGTTACAGTACAACCAACTCCTCATAGGTAAAAGTCTAATTAAATTTTGTTCTGTAAAAATATTGTAATAACCATTAATCTTTGCTTATTGAAGTAATATTCTGGTTTTCAGTCATAGGACAAACAAAGGACCACCAGCTTCACTTAAAGGACAACCTGCACCAAGCAGGAGCAGTAGTTTACATGCTCCACCTCCTGGAATGTTATTACCACCTACAGTTGGTCGTAGTTCTACTTCTAGTACTGGAATGCCACCTAACATGGTCATACCACAACCACCTCATCCTAGGGGCAGGCCACCTAGTGCAACACCAAATGTATCAAATTATCATGCACCTGCAGATAGAACTGAAAGGTCTACAAAAGATCCAACACCCACTCCAGCACATCAAGTAAGTAAGGTACAAAATGACTTTTTTTTTATAGATATACAATTTTATAAATGAATATTACTTAAAGTGTTACAATTATATGTATATATTATATTTTACAAATACTTGTTTACATTGTTTGTGAACTATGTAAATAACCATAATTGTGTTTTTGTAAACACAAAGCTGCTTCTTGGATCTCAAGAAAATAAAACCACCGCATCCTTAAGCACACCTGTGATTTCAGAGCAGGTATATCCACTAGTCAATGTATATGTTTAGTCTCTTGTCAATCTGATTCTTTATTAAATATCATGCTGACTTTCTCTTGCCTTCTTAACCATATTATTTCTGGTTTCTGTGTTTAACCCACTTATATTTCCATTTTCCTTCCTATCTTCTTTCTTTTTATTTTTTTTTTCTTCTTTTTTATCTATTATTTATTGTAACATTAATATTTTATTTTATAGAGAACTTACAAACAATTCATTAGAAATTTTATCATTTCTGTGTATTTAATATTTATTTCTGAAACTATAGGAGAGACCAAGGGATGATAACCAGACTCCTGCACAACGGCAGGCGGCTGCCAAGTTGGCTTTAAGAAAACAACTTGAGAAGACTTTGTTACAAATACCACCTCCGAAACCTCCACCACCGGAGATGCACTTCGTGCCAAATCCGTCTAATACCGAATTTATATACTTGGTGGGTCTAGAGCATGTAGTTGATTTTATCACTAAAGAACCCGCTATTCCACCACCTCCGGAACCATTCGAATGTACTCAATGCAAAACGGATTTTACACCTGTGTGGAAATGGGAAAAGCCCGTAACTGGTGGCAAGAAAGAAGGTCCACGAGGACAACATGCAACCTTCCAAAGACCTCCAGCAGGTCGTGATCCTAGGGTCATATGCGAACATTGTGTAACGACCAATGTTAAGAAGGCTCTTAAAGCAGAACATACTAATCGGTATATAACCTATAATCTATAAAATAAAAATTTAGTAACACGTTTTGTTACCTTAATTAACATGGTAAATGTACATATAGGTTAAAGACAGCGTTCGTAAAAGCACTGCAGCAGGAACAAGAAATAGAGCAGAGGTTGGCGCAAGCAGCGTGTCCAAGTCCAGACCCTCCAGCTCCAAAACCAGTTCCTAAAGCGGCTACTCCTACGAGAAGAGTAGCAACACCACCAGCCCCTCCACCTCAAGTTCCACCGGCACCAACGCTAGCACCAACTCCACCAGCACCGAAATTACAAGATCATCCTCTGGTTAAATTGGCAGAAAGTGGAAAGTTTAGCCCACATCACGCTGCTGCAGCTGCCCTACAGCAACAATTGCTCAGAGGTAAATTCAAAATATTGCTGTGATTGAAACTTTATACATTATATGTTAAAAATAAATGCGATTGACTTTATTTTCAGAATTGGCAAAAAATCCTGTGCCAGGTTTGCCACCTCATCAACCCCTTCCTGCTCACATGATGCCACCATTTACTTCGATATTATATCCCTACCAATTAGCAATGGCACAAGCTGGCGGAAAAGGTCTTGCAGAATTACAGCGACAAGCGGCAGACTTGCAACGTCAATATTTGCTTGATATGATTCCGTCGCAAGCATCTCAGGCGCAAGGCAACCAAGCTCCACCTCGCGCCCATCCACACAATTGGAAAACGTAACCGAACGCATTTAAGGATCGACCAGTAAATGCAAATAAATGAAACTGCAGAGCTGTGTTAGAGAATATTGAGAAGCAATGATACTCGTATTCTTTTTCCAGAACATCGTACTAAATAAAAATCTTTAATGAAGTGTGATGAATGTCACATTTTCATAACATTGCTAGGATAATGTACCAATTGATATATGATTGGTATCTTTATTTACAAAGTGAAGCTCAAACTTGGAACAATGGGACAAGACACTTCCTGTATTATTGTGAAAATGGGAGATTTTAACCATCATTTTGTGAATATGCATTAATGTGTGAGTGTGACTTTTGATTGTTACCCGGAAGGTTCAACGTTTTATTGTCTCAAAAAACCTAAGCTTTCAGTTGTAATACACGAATGATAATTATCGTAATTTTCTTCGTGGTTTCAAAGAGAGAAAACGAAAGGATGTTCACGATTTAACCGAAGGCCAGCATACAAAAGATTCTTCGATTGGTTTTTTAAAAGATCAGTATCTGTGTTTCTTTTTTTTTTTTCTTCTTTTTTTAGGGGGATTACCCTATGTTGGTATTAACTGTACTGTGAAGGAATAATAGGTGAATGTCAATCAATTGGAGTAAGTGCATAATAACTCGGACGCACATAAATGAATATAATTGCTTCAATTATTACATTATATATATTATATCTACATAAAGAACCAAGTGGACATTTATAAGGCACTAAGGACAGTAATAAGTGTTATGCGATTATAAAAAATTGGTTGATTAACAATAGTAGTGATAATCAGAGAGTGAACGAAAGAAAGAGAGAGTGAGAGGGAGAGAAAGAGAGAAAGCGCGCACGCATAAATACGTGCGTAAAACAACAATTAACAAAGTTGAAAAAAGTGGGATCTTTTTAGGCCCTTGATAATTATAGTTAAGTCAATCTTTGTCGCTGGTTTGAATAATTTTTGTAACCATCGGCGGTACCTGTACTCTGTGTATATCTCTTTATTTTCTTCAAACTATGAGTAGTTTTAAGGCGGTTATAATAATTGAGAAAGAAAAGAGAAAGAGCGAGAGTAAGAGCGAATGAGAGAGCAAGTTGTAGACTACTGATGAAAGAAAAAGGGAAAAAAGCAAATGATCTTCGTAAGAAAATGTGTGTCACTGATATAGTCAGCAAAAAAAACGAATGTGGGTGTGATAGTAACGTTTTTCTTTTTTTCTTTTATTTCTTTTTTTTTTTTTTGTCGTTATAACAAGAGGACAGAGAATGAGCATTCAGCATGTTTTTAAAAAATAGGGTGACACGAATGTCATTCGCGCACAAATTGTAGGAATTTCAAGGTAAAACTTCTTCAGGCTCATTTTGATGCAGGATGTATTGAAAAAAAAGGAGGAAAAAAAAAATCGAAAAGAAAAAGTCCAAAAAAAAAGGAAAAGAAAGAACACGTGAAACGGAAAAGAAATATATATATATATATATATTTTATATATATGTATATGTATGTATGTATATATTTTATATGTATGTATATATACATATATATACACATAAATATAATATAAAATATATATATATACATATAAAAATCTGTTATACAAAAATGGAAGAAAGAAGAAAAGGAAATTTGTCGATTAAGGTGTAAATTATTAATAATAGCGCGATTGATTTCATGTGTCACATTGATGTAAAAGTATTTAATGAATTTAAACAGGTCGTATGTACCCGAAGTTTTTCCCAAAGGAAGAAACAAAAATCGATTAAGTGGCAGATCGCCGAATTTTTATGAAATCCTCTCTTCTGAAAAAAAGACAAAACGAAAAAAAAACTTATCTGCACTTTAAAGAAAGAAAAAAAAAAAGAAAGAAAGAGTTAAAACAAAATCTCTCCGGCACACATCCCAAGCAATACTTATTACCACCCCCACTCTAAATAATCTGATTTTTCATTAATTACTGGCTAACCAACCGATCTTGGTCACAATTTCCGAATCACTAAATATATAGTTAACTGTAGTCTTGATATTTCTCGGTATATGATACAAGTTAATAAACTAAAAATAGCATAATCAATCTCTCTTTGTACTACGTGATAGATTTTGAACTCATACTTGATATACATGTACACCGTAATAAGTCTATCGATCGCATAATAGATCAAGATCTGTGTTTTTTGTGTAAGAGAATCGAAGTAATATCATCGTTGTCAATTGTCATTTTTGCCAGGGCGCTACCGTTGTCATCCTCCTGATCGTAAAGAAAGAAAAAAAGGAAAAAATAGAAACGAAAAAAGCGGGTTTATTCGTATTTTATCGTCACAACTATGCGAAGCGAGGGAGTGCGTGGTCTTTTAACGCAAAGCAACTATGCATAACCAATAAGTTGATTTAACTATCGCGTGTTACCAATCAATCATTACATGTATATATATGTTCGCCTTATAAATTTTACAAATTTTATTTTTCCTGAAAATTTTGTGATTCCAGTAAGAAGGCAAAATGTGGACTGCGTTTCTATGTTCACTGCTATCATGGCGTATATTAAATATTTGCGTTTCCTCACCAGCCTCCCTTTCTTCATGACAAATGTGTTCTGTTTAATTAAAAAGGAAAAAGCAAACAAACGAATGAAAAAAAATGCACATAATGCATCATCACTTCTACGACTGCCGAAATCGCGTAAGATGTTTCGTGTGATCGACGATTTGTCAGATTGTAGCCAATCATCGATTACGTTCCTCCGAAGACGAACCTTGCGCGAAAATGGGAAAACGTTTAAAAATCGCATTGCATTTTTTCACGTGGTAACGCGAAACGAGGGTTCACGAAAATGAACGAATAATGCAAAAGAAAAAAAGTAACTACGTTTCTTCCTATCTTCCTTTCTAGTCTTGTCTTTCACCTATGTGTGGTGCTGATTTAAGAACTGAAAGCACTGTCAAGTGCGAAAGTTTAATTTTATATTCTAAACACGAAGGAGAAAAAGAAAAAAATAAGAAAAAAAATGGAAACTTTTTTTCTACTCGGAGAATACGAAAGAGAAAGAGTAAACGAAAAATACTTATACTTGCAAGTTCGACGCAGGGCGGTAGTGTGAAACGAACGAAACGAGAAACAACAAAGAAAATGAAATAAATCGAATTTTCGATCTAATATAGGTAAAGCAATATAGAACTTCGAACATCACGGAATAATATTCTGTATAAGATATTTGAGGGAAAAAAATAAAAATAAAATGCTGTGTAACGAAACGAGGTCCGATATTTAGTGGGGACGAAGAAAACACGCTAAAATGGCTCGAAAAATAGGGAAAAGATAGTACACGAAAAAATTCCCTAGGCTGAAATTTTACGTCCAAAGACAGAAAAGGAGAAATGAAATTGAATTCGTATTATTCTATCTTTAAGTCTGGCTACCTGACGAGAATCTCTGCCCCCACAATTTATAGGATTAGTAGTTTTAAAAAGTACAGATTACCGAATACTCTGGAGACTACACGAATAAAGCTTATCAATGATTGTATCTAGAGTGATGATTTATTTGTACTTTCGAAACGTCAGCTTTTAATGTTACATGTAAAAGAAGAATGAAAAAAAAAGTTACTGGAAAAAAAACAAATCCGTCGAAGAGAAAAATTTTCTCGAATCTTCAGCGTTGTGTCATTTTCGTGCGTTTCGATCGACGAAACATTTAGATGTGTAAATGTGTAACTTGAATTACCTGTGTTACGTCTCGTCTATCGCTTGGATAGTAATCGCATAACTCGAACACATTCTCAATAATCGTTAAGATACAAGCGGCGGATTAATGGCCTGCGATCGTTTAGCCTTTAGGAGATACCATTAATTTTTTACTATGTTTGTACATTGACCTAAGGACGCTCAAGAATTTCATCATTACAAACTCTGCTATTCCTTTTGTTCTTATTCTTTTTTTTTTTTTTTTTTTTTTTTTTTTTTTTTTTTATTCATCATTTTTCTTCTGTACACGGACACGTTCTTATCATCGAGCCATTATTATAGAAATATTAAACAATATGGCTCCCCTCTATTGGTTCTTCTCTGCAACGAATCCGCCATTGTCCCCTACGTTCGTCGTTTCGTGAAAGAAAAGAAGTACACGAGTTTTTCTCGAGTTCAGGTACGATTTATCGCGGCGTCTCGCGTCTCGCACTGCCCTATCCGGTGCGAAATGTAACGTGGCAAAAAATGAAACGGGGACCAGTTTAGCGGGTCGAAAGATAAGCGCTATATTTAGAAACTCGACGTAAAACTTTCAACTTATGCAAGATACGATTGAGTTAGACTAAGCGAATCTAACTCCTTCCCCCTCGCGTTACTATTTTCTAAGCATTTAATTTCGTGATTTATCAACGCGCAAAAGTGCCATAAAAATGGCCACGATTACCGTTGTCGTGTGAAGAAACGTATCTTCATTCGATGGAATACTCTCTCTCTTATTTCCGATTATAAGTTTAGAAAGTATCATTTATAATAACTTATTGTCATGTCTTTTTACACTTTGTGAAAATATTGAGTGTCCCCGTTAGTTGCGAGGAACGAAGATTTGAAAACGTAGAGACTGGATGTTAAATTTGCTTCTTTTCATTAAATTCGACCAAACATTTCTTGAAGTGTTTTGAGCAAAATGGATACAACGTCGGATGGTCACAGGTTCGACAGGCTGCCGCGAGATGTGAACAGCATCGCAAGCTTTCACGGCAACAGGATGCCCATAACTCAGGACCAGCTGCGGCGCAATTGTAACAATAACAATCACCTAGAAAAGGTAAAAGAAAACATTGAAACACAGACGAAATTTGTGCAGCATTTATTAGCCAATCTTCTGTTCAATTCAATAAATTGTTGAAGAAATTGAAAATTATGTGAATCAGTAATAATGTCAATCAACCCTGGGCCAGTGATATTTTAGATGCAAGTTCCTGTAGATAGTGCGAAACGTTAATAGTGGTTAAGTTTACGTTCCTTAGGTTAGTCCAATCTGACAGTTTCATTATTTAATGACATATTTAATTATGATTTCCTAATTTATGATAATTTAGATTTCTACATTAGTATGTTAGGTAGTATTAGATAACGTCTAAACGTTTAAAAAACGTTTTTTGATACTATCAATCTTTGCAGCTTATTTTACATAAAGAGGTGTATCTTTCTTACAGAGTAGTTTCTTATGTCAATTTTTCTGCCTATCCTTTCATCTCAATTGCGATTCATCGCTATTTCGTTACTCACGCAAGACACTTACATCACGAGATATTTGACTCCGTGCGTTAAATAACCGTAACGCGAAAGGGGAAAAAAGAGAAATAAAGGTAAAGCGTATCACGTATCGTGTACACCGCACGTGCGTATTTTTTACGTGGAAACTGGTCCAGAATCGAGACGAGCCGCTGATCCTTTCGATGTGTCTCGTTCGATGACAAAACACACGTTTTTATCCTCTTATAACGATATCCATTTATGATTTAATTTTTTGTTAAATGATCGAAAAGAAGAATGTAATCGTTCCATGTATCGATGCAAATTTCAATGAAGATATAGAAATGTACACTGCAGACGGTAATAAATTTTCCATTGACGTTATGTTTTTACGTTAGTAAAAAGTTTTATGGTAACAGAACAATTTTTAACTGGAGACCGACTTAATGTTTTATCTACAATAGATAACTAAAAATTAAAATCAATTTTATCAATTACTCCTATTTAATCTGTTAATTATTCGTCAATTTCAAACAAGAAATACAAATATTAAAAATACCTTTTTTAACCTATAACAAGAATTTTTCAGTCTCGATTTTGCAATCTTTTGCATATTTCACTTGAAAAGTAGAAAAAAGATACATATTCCAAGATGTTGTGTAGGTTGTCAATTCTTTGAGGTTGCATGCGCGACAAGATAATTAGACACACAGTAAGATTGCACATGTCCTCTGCATGTAATAATGATTCGCTCACTAAATCACTATTGCTCTGAATGTTGAGTAGTGAAAGGAGGGACATGAGATGCTACAAATGCTCGGCCGATAAAAATAATGGCGGACTATAGATGCAGATCCCTCTAGGAAAAAGACTGCAAGGACACGCATGGTAAAAGTAATTTCTGTTTATATTTTGAATTTCAACGTAACCGTGAATTCTATGAAAATGTTATTTCTTTATTGAAGAGATAACTTATTGCTTTGGATAATCTCATATACAATTAAAAATTAAAACTGATTCTGTGAATAAGATTATTTGGTGGTCAGATATTCTTCATTATCGATGAATTAGACACGTTGTTTAATTATAAGGTTATGATTAGAGATAGGAATGTTTTGTTGAATAAGTGACTCTGATATATTCTTTTAAGTCAATTATATGTTAGATTGTAATAATTACAATGTTGGCAAAACTACAAATATTTTTTAGTAGAAAAACTCAAAATGACAATGAAATGATTTTATAGTGGTAAGTGACGAAAGTGTCAATATTATGCGAATAATTAATATTATGCTCGCTTCTTTGAAGCAAAAATAAAAATGTTCCAAGATATGTAAATATAATTCCGGGACAAGTAATTTATTGCGTCTCCGTGAATCATTATTAGGAAGTAAAGTTAATCGAATTTCAATCGCTTTCTACTTATTTCAGTTGAATCCAATAGAGTGCATCTGATTCGTGAATGCATGCTCTCCGGTAACAATATGCGAACAATGTGCACGTAGGAGTGGCTTTAATATATGTACTGATTATTTTTAATAAAATTTTGCGAAGCAAAGTGGGTGATTTGTATTGAAATAGTTGTTATTTGTTAGTGAAAGTGTGTTGCCAGGCCAGTATCTAAGTCTTCAACCGCGAAGGGTTAATGTTACATTGCATAAAATAATTAGGATCAGCTGGTGGAATACTTTTACAAAGAAAATTACAAGTACTGATATGTTGCACACAGAATTTCTTACAAATTACAAAAAAGGTAAAGGAAAAATTTTTAAGAAACTAGAAAAAGTTAGAAATTTTTGTATTTCTTTTTATTATCATTATACATCTTTTTACACTAGTGCAGTTATGCAAAAATTTATTTGATTAATATCAAATATTAGAAAAATTAATTAATTTTTAATTTAATTAATTAATCTTAATTTTAAAATTAATTAACAAATTAATTTCAATATTTTCCCAATGCGCCTATACACTCAACATTTTCAAATATCTTAAATTTTTATTTTATATTAATTATATCTAAAGGAAAATAAAAAATTTGACCTCAATTATTCCATTCAAATTGCATTAAAATAATGCAAATGACGTTTCCAAGTATAAGAATACATATAATTTCTACTAGTCATTAAACTTTCTCTACAATTCGTCAAATAATCATCACACTTTACTTTCCTCGTTACCCTGTATGACCCTACAATTACCATAACCTATATACTCGCACGTTTCCAAAGTAAAAGCAGGGTCGTTTCCCAACCGGTACAAGCATCATTTTCGAGAAAGTGATTTATCGCTGCATGGTAAATACAGCCAAACGCGAAAAAATTACAAGGTGACATCGTTCGATCAAATATTGGATCTAATTTGTAAATTAACGCTCTCACGTGGTGGTCTGCATTTAACGTGGGGAAACAATGCCTGGGAGTGGCTATGTCAAGGTTAGAATCTCTATTGTGCATCGCGGAAAGCGGTATCTTTCGATAACAGTGGTTACTATCATTCTACTGGAATGCAAACATGTATTTATGCAGCGATTCTACAATGCATATGTGTTTATGTGTTACAGCGTGTATGTGCATGGAATTTTGAAATCCTTTGTGCGATTACCTTGAGGACAATCGACGGATCGTCTGGCTTCGGCTCTTCTGCATTCAAGACCTTCTTCGCCTTTTGGACAAGACGAAAATGACTCCTCAATCGAATTTTCACCAAGTATCGCATTGATCTGGAAATCAATCAATTAGCTTCATTGTATTCAGAGAATAAGCCAGATATAGTGCAACATATTTTGTGTTGAGCACGAGTCGCCTAAATTATAAATTTTTTAATATTTAATTTTATATCATTGTTAATTTAGTTGCTAATATATAATGTTACTTTAATTTTTAATTAAAATATTAGTATTCTGAATTCAATTTTAAGAGATGAAATAATGAACCAATTTTCTTGAACTTTCGTTATTGGTGAATTTTTAAGAAAATATTCAGATAGAAATCTGTTAGAATGGAAACATATTAATTATAATTTATGGGTTTTCGATAAAACGTCAGTTATAGTATATTCGTTCAGTTAAAATTCTAAAATATAACCCGGAATCACATATGCGTAGATGTTTTTCGTTTGTAATTTTTGTTACGCAATGAAAAGTGGCGGTACTTTTATCAGCGAGCTAATTCAGATTTGTCTTTTACGTGTTTAAACTGCGCATTTGCATTTTTGGCAATTACATTGTAAAAATCAGCTTGATTCATAAAGTAAATTTCCATCTGTGCATATTAAAATTTCTATCACATTTTCTCAAAAATTGTTACAAAACAATTGTGACATACACTCATTATCACCCCCTCTGTTATATAGAACTTTACTTGATTTTTGTGAAACTTCTTTTCAATATTTTTTAATGTATTTCACGTTTTTTAGAAAAATACATGAGTGGGTTATAATTTTTAAAGCTCACTCGTTTGAACGCGCCTGGCTTCGAAAACATTTTGACTAATTTCGCTAACGCGTTCTCCTCCGTAACGTTGGTGACATTTTCCTCGCAACGGTAACCGGTCAGTATCAGGAACGAACAACAAAGAAACAGTAACGCACCGCGAGAACACATCACGCCGTCATGAATACACGCGCGACGAAAAAGGCTCACACCTCGCCCTGGGTAATTTGAAATTGCGACTGATGGTCAGGTAGTAGAGAAGCGCACCGACAGTTTAACTTCGCCAACGTTTTATCTCATGGAGGGGATATCCTATATTGCAACACAAACATGACATGAAATAGAGTCGTTTAGATTAAAGATCGCGATTAATCTCTAAAACTCACATTCAAATTTTTTCGCAAACTACCTTAATTAAATTAATGATTTATTTTTGTAACAAAAGGTTTCAATTTATTTCTAACAATTTAATCTGTATTTTTGAAACGTTACACATTACATCGTATATGACTGTATATGACACTTCGAAAAATGTAATAATCAGAAATTTGTTTTATTTAAATTTCTCAGCTTTTTTAATTAGGCTTAAATTGTATTATTTTAATAACAATTGAGGTTTCTCTGGTTGCATGTTCATTTTTCACTTCTGTCGTAACGAGATTTCAACTGAAAAGTACGCGTTTTATGCGTGAGATTATATGTGGAGGTTAATCATCAAAATTGTTCGTTATGCTATAATAAATTATTAGTGCATAATATTTCTTTGAAAGCAAGTAGTGTTTCAAATTTGTATACAAAAGCTTTATAGTTCTGTTATTTATGTAATATGAATACATTCATGTTAAATGAAAAAAAGGCGAATGCATTTATTTTATATCACGTGATGTGATACAATCTTACCACTACTATAGTATTTTTATTCTTTAAATCTAGGGAATATATATTTAAATTCGAAACAGCTTTCAAAATGATTTATTTATAACTACATTATTATTATATTTCTTGTCTCTGTATAAAGTAAAATATATTATTATACTATTGATGAATTACTATGTAGGATAGTAAGTTATTATTTATAATTATTATTAAATATTATTGAAAACTTATAAAAATGTTGAATAATAATTAAAATTGAATAAATTTTTTGTATGATACTTGCTGTTATTTATGTTATATATTCATGTGCTTTCTATATTTGAATTATTTTGAGTTACTATTTTAAAGTCAATACTCTGGAAATAGAAAAACGATATTTACCTAGTTTCAGTTAGATTACAATTCTAACGAAGATAATGATATATCGTTCACTATCGTCATACATAGAAAATATTAAAATGAGTAATGTCGATATACATGTAAATTCATTTTATTATCCAAATATTAATTCTTTGTGCCTGCAAATGAAGATTCTCTGTATGTGTACAAAAAAATATTAAGCAATAATGTAGAAAATGTCACGTTACATATGTATGTAAACATTACGCAATAAGCGATTTCCAGGGGAAACGCATCTGACGAGACATCGCCGACTTGTAAATTGAGTTGTGATTGCAATTACGTTCTTTGAAACAGTGATCAGGCTCCATTACAAGTGTAATTCAATTCCCAGCGTAAAGTTAGTGACCGTGTCTTATCACGGCTGGAGATTTTACCCGTGAAATGTCAAAATGGCGTCTTCGCAGGACGCTTGGTATCTATCGTTATTAGGACTAGCAGAAAACTTTCGGACCTCAAGTCCGCCAAATATTAAATCGTGTATACAGTGTTTGCAAGCAGTTTTTAATTTTAAACCACCTCCAAGAGTTGAAGCACGTACTCATCTTCAACTTGGTAATATCCTTCTTACGCATACCAAAAACATCGATTTGGCGCGGTCTCATTTAGAACAAGCGGTCAGTTGAAATATAATTTGTATTGTAATTACCTTTTATTAATTGCTAAATGTTATCTTTTATCATTATTGTATACTTTCTTTAAAACACCATAGATCTGCTTATCTTTATTCTAACCTTTCTTTTTATTTTGGTACCATTGCTAATGTAATATACAAAATTATTAAAGATCTGTTGTTGTGTTAATCGATATACTTAGGTAATAGTTGAGTGTACTGTAAATATGATTATATCAATGGATATATAATATTGACATTACATTTTAGTGGCGGTTGAGTCAAAATATAAACACTTTTGATGATGTTAAGTTTGAAGCAGCAAGTGTAGTTGCAGAACTATATGAACAACAACAGCAACCAAATCTTAGTAAACCAATATTACGGAAGGCCATAGAACTTTCACAGCACAATGTATATTGGCATTGTAGACTTATTTTCCAACTTGCAGTACGTTACTAATAATTGTAATTAATGTCAATAATTAAAAATTTGTGAAATAATATTTTTATATTTCAGCAAATACATGCATCGGAAAAAGATTTTGTTGCAGCTAGTAGTTTACTTGCAGTAGGTGTTGATTATTCTCATATCAGCAATGCAAGTTATACAAGAGTATTATTCTTATTGAGCCGATGTATGCTTTTATTAATAGACAAAAAGTTTACTGAAGTTCATCCCCTGTTAAATTCAGCTGGACATCATGTTGAAAATTGGCAGGGTAGTCCACATCAAAAAGAATATTTAAAAGTATATTTTTTGGTACTTCAAGTCTGTCATTATTTAATGGCAGGACAAGTAAGCAGTGAATAATGTTATTTTAATATTATAAATTGACCTAAATAATTTATTTATCTATCCTTTAACAGGTTAAAAGTGTAAAACCATGTTTAAAACAATTACAACAAAGTATACAAACAATAATGTCTCCCAGTTGGCCAGCAGATGAAATAGTCACAGGTTCAAATATTGGAGATATGTTTATATGGATGCCAAAGGATCATTTATATGTTTTGGTTTATTTAGTAACAGTTATGCATTCAATGCAAGCTGGTTATATGGATAAAGCTCAAAAGTATACAGATAAAGCACTAACTCAAATTGAAAAATTGAAAAGTAAGTATTATAATTTATTATTTTAATAATTCTATTATAATTTTATAATGTAATTAATATTTATATTATTTTACAGTTGTTGATAACAAACCTATACTTTCTGTTTTTCAACTGATGTTATTGGAGCATATAGTGATGTGTCGGCTAGTAATGGGAAATAAGAGTGTAGCTCTTGCTGAAATTTCTCAAGCCTGTCAACTTTGTAGAAGACAACCGAGGTTACTTCAAGGTCATAAGCCACAGCTACATGCTTTATTGGGATTATATGCAATGTCTATGAATTGTATGGAAGCTGCAGAAGCACAGTTTACAGCTGCTTTAAGAGTATGATAAGAAACAAGTAAAATACTACAGAATATGACTTTAATAGTATTATATCAAATATTTTTTTACAGACATCACAAGAACGGGAACTGTGGACTTTTGCAAACTTAAACTTAGCAATAGTATACCTTAGGACGAAAAGAGATGCAGATTTAGGTGCTTTATTAGAACGAATAAATCCTGAATCTTTACCATCTCATTCACACTCTTTAAGGGCAGCAGCATATTATGTTCAGGGTCTTCAGGCGTTTTTTGGAGCACGATACAACGAAGCAAAGTACAAATTAATAATTTAAATATTTTTCTAAAAAGATTAAAAATAACTAAATGTATGAATATATTTATAGGAGATACCTTCGGGAAACGCTAAAAATGGCCAATTCTGAAGATTTAAATAGACTTACTTCGTGTAGTCTTGTACTTCTGGGACATATATTCCTTTCCTTAGGAAATAGCAGAGAATCTATGAACATGGTTACACCTGCAATGCAGTTAGCTTCTAAAATACCTGACGTTCATGTACAATTATGGGCTACTGCTATACTTAAAGGTAAGTATGAATTGGAATATATACAAATGAGAAAAACTTAATTTTCAAATAAATGATGTTTGTTGATAGATTTGTATAGAATTTGTGGGGATCCAAATCGTGAAAGTGAAGCATATCAGATGCATTGTACGTTTTCACAAACGCTTTTGAAAGATCACTTCCAAAGTACACAGATGGGTGAACATACTCTTATACAATGGACTGATGGGCCAGTGCCTGCCTTGCCAAGTAATCCACCACCTTCGACATCACAAGCGATTCTTTAATAATATCCAAAAATTCAATAGCTTGTATGATCGAAATGTGTAAAATATTTGGTGGAGCACAGAAATGTGTTAGGTTTGTACAATTTTGTTATCAGATTGTAGATTGAACAATAAAGCGAGAAATAACGATAGAAACAAAATGAGAAAAACAAAGCTCGCCTAAACGAGAAAATGAAACTGGCTGCATCGCAAAGAAGAAAATTTATTTCAATTTAGTTCCAAGAGAACATTTAATTTTTCAATTGGATATTAAATGATATCCAAATTCATTGTTTATTATCTAAATATTTTCAGGCAACTAAAAATCATAGACATTTTTTGCAGAGTTTCATAAAAGTTATATATATATATAACTTATAGAAACTTATTCTATATATATATATATAGTTTGTACAAACAATTTATTGTAATCATTTTCTATGTCACAGAAAAACGCAAAAAAGTGAAGATATGTATAAAATATTGATATATTTTATTATTTTGTAAATTGTAAATTATCTTGAAACTTTTATGCCCACAAGTGTATATCTGCAAAGAAGGGAAAACGGAAAAAGGACAGTGCTGTTATTCCGAGTATCAAAGTAATTAAGTGCATCTGTCAATATAATTATCATATTACTGCACAAAGACTATTTTAAAAACAAGATAATGTTTAATTTATGCTATAAAAGTGATAGATTTTGATATGACAGAACGTTAGGAATATTTGTTGTTGGTGCTTAAATAAAAAGGAGCACATTAAAAGATATGTTAATTATTTAAGTTTTGGAAAATTTGATTTATTACAAAGGAGAACTTTATTTTTGACCAAATTAATTTTTCTTTGTATCTCAATTGCTCTCTAGAAGAAAGTTATTCAAATGTGACATACTAAGCATAGGAGAGTAATACAATATTATTATTTTACATCATAGCTGACTTTATCCATATAATTTTTTTAATTTATGATTCGTACAATTTTTTAGGTTTATATAGCACATTGGCAAGTATGTTTTGAATTATATTTTAAACAGAGACTGATAAAATTATTATGGTACAGAAATAGACAACATGGATTAAAAATACAATACATGGGTGCATATTTCAAAAATTATAAATTTATATATCGAAAGGTCAGTTCTAGTAAAATTAAACCATTTCACGAAAAAATATGAATTGATGAAAATAGAGGAAATAAGTATTAACAAGATATTGATATTTCGAATATACTATGCTCTTCAATGACCAAAGTAGGCGTTTAAAATTTGGGCTGTGGATACAACAGAAATAATAGTATGTTCATAGAAGTGTACCCTTGTATATGGAAATATGTTGATAGGTACAATAGATTGCAGTATGATTTTGAGAAAGAAAAGCGGCATATCGTATCTATCGTATGCGTGGTGCGTATCAGTTGATGTGTTTTTATTAAACAATGTATGTATGTAATGTATAATTAAAATAAACACAATCGTAAGTAGTAAGTATTAGATAGAGCAATATATGAGAAAGAAAAAAATAAAGGGGCCTTAATAAGTGGTAAGCTAAATGGCAAAGATGTTTTGCCTAACTCTTTGCTTTGTTTTTAAATTAAGCTATTGTACATATTTTAAATAGTAAAAATAATAAAGAGTAAAACAGAAAAAAATGAGTTACATGCCTGTAAAAAAGTATACTTTATCATTTCCATGTAATTATGTAATCAACATGGAGAGTATATTATTTGAATTAATATTATTATCTTTCAGTCTTTATTTGTAATATTTATACGTATTTTTGGTGGTTGTATATAATGATAAAAATTCATAATAATAAACAAGTCTTACAAAAAATATGTTAGTGTAATAAATTAGTCACTTTAAGATAGTAATTTATCAATATTTTATTGCTATTTAAAATAATTTATAACTTCATTTATTATTTTTGTTGTATTTTACATTACAATATTAACATTTACATATAAATTACTACTATTACTAAGAATATTTACATTACTTTCTATACCATAATTGGACAGTGCGCATATGTTTAATTTTTTTCTGCAATTGAAGGATTCCATACATCAAAGCTTCTGCTGTGGGGGGACATCCTGAAACATAATTAAATGCATGTATAATAACTTTTTATTAGAAAATATGAAATTCAATATTTTATCAAATGTTACCTGGCACATATATATCCACAGGCAGAATCCTGTCACATCCTCTAACAACAGAATAACTATAATGGTAATAACCTCCACCATTAGCACAGCTTCCCATTGATATGACCCATCGAGGTTCAGGCATTTGGTCATATATTCTTCTCAATGCTGGAGCCATTTTATTTGTTAGAGTACCAGCAACTATGATAACGTCAGCTTGCCTTGGAGAAGCTCTAAATACAACTCCATACCTATCCATATCATATCTTGGAGCAGCTATGTGCATCATTTCAACTGCACAACATGCTAAACCAAATGTAAGTGGCCATACTGATCCTTTACGACCCCAATTTAAAACATCATCCAATCGTGCTACTACAAATTCAGCTAAATTGTTGGTATTTTGAAAAGGGCTATAAGGCTTCTTTTGAACCTTCTTTGGTAGAGAAACTTTATTTTCTGTTTTTGATACTTCTGTTGACATGTATTTAGCCTGAGAAACTAAAGACCCAGGGCATCCTGATAAGGCAATGTTCTTGCGTATCAGGGATGCTAAGCCCTGATTAATATAGGCTAAAAATGAAAGAAAGAAATTTGTTTATTTATGCCAATATCTTTAATATAAAATCTCATTTATGTTTTTTTATATAATTATGTTTATTATACATATCACGATAGTTATAAAGAAAAAATAAAAAACTTTGTTTTGTAGTATCAATAAAAGATCCATTTTATATATGTGAGGTTATGAAATGTGTTGCAATAGAATTTGAAAATACGATCTATATGCGAATGCTCAAAAATAAAGTTAATTTGGTTGAAATTACAACATCTTATGCAACGCAAACTATTAGACAGAATCGGCTACTAAATTAAATGAGTATAAAACTTATATCGTATGCAATTATATATTTATCATAGTATTTTACTCAAAAAAAGAAAGATATTACTCTATATTGTTTGTAATGTTAATTTATTTAGATACTGTAAATAATTGACAATAATTTGGAATTAATTATTATAAACTTACGAGAAAACATGATAGAACGAAACATCTTTCAGTCCTCCCGTCACACAACTGTCTGCTACACTGCGATTTTGCGCTGTGAATCCATCGTATAGTATTAATGACAGTTTGCAATGTTCATTGTACGAAACTATTTCAAGATCATTTTGTTTTATATTGTAAATGAATAACTGTATTTCATTTTTAATACTGTTTTGATCAAGTACAGCTTCACTTTTCTTCTAACCAAAAAATGATAAAGTTACTATTAAAAATGATTAAAAAAAGTCTTAATCATTATTATTAAAAGTAATTTTTATAATCTTTTAAACATAAACTATTTTTTCTTTTTTTTTAGCATATATGTAAATGTGATCAATTTAAACAAAAGAAATAAATGTATGTATAAACGAAATATTCTCTTTCCATAGAATATTTTTATTGGCTCAGTTTCTGTTTTATACAAAACATCTAAGAAACACAGATGCTTTTCGCTGATATTTGTTTTAAAACTTTGCCTCACGAAAGCGGCTAATCTATCGATTTCACGATTTTCTAGTCTTGCGATACTGACTAGAATACAATGCGATACTTTTTTTTACTTCAACAGTGCTTGTTGTATGTCGACGCATCTAATCATAACACTAGCTATTATTCATCGTGGTCGTTAAAAATTCGAAACGCAAGATCGTTTAAAAGTGCTTCACAAGTGAACGATTGCGCTACTTCAGCAACGGACGGGGACGTCAACTAGGCCATGGAATCAAATTTCACTATCGTGTTGGCTCGTAAACGACTTCCTATATACAAAAACGGTCCCTACAATTTGTCGCTTTATCACTCGAGCTAATTTCCATTCACCTAAGACTTCTGTTTTTCTCACCATTTTACTTCGATCAAATAACAAAACAAGATTACCTTAATAACCTTATTTAATTGTAGGCGCGTGTAAATTGTGTGTATCTGTACTTTGTATAATATGGAGATTTCATAAAGGACTATTTAGCGAAAGTTCGTTAACCTATAAACATCTAGGTAACATTAAGTAACAACTTATATTTCAGCAACAACAGTGGTATCATTTACTATCCCTTCTTGTTTCGAGTCAAGTATACCAGTACAAGCTCCCGCTCCTAGTAGCAGCTGCTTAAATTTACAAATGTTGTAACAGTGCTTTGTCCTATATGGTTTTAATCTTTATAATCCTTCTCAACCGATATTGATTGATCATCTGATGTCAGTTTTTAAATTGAGACATCTCTATGTAAAATTAGGAGATCATTTCAAAACGAAATACGAGTTTAAAATAACCAATTAATTATTGTGAGAATCTTTCTAAAAAATGTAAAAATTTTTTAATAAAATTTTATATATTCTTTCTCGCACGGAATTTTTGACGATAGATGGGCATCTTATGCTGAGAACAAGAGTTCAAACTCATACGCACATGGCGCGTACACACTTCTTCACGACTTCCTTGTGACATTAATGTGCATGTTTCTAAATTGTTTTTAATCGTTGCTTTTTATTATTTTCTTTCATTTTGCTGTCATAAAATATAAATTAACATAATTTAATCTAAAAAATCTTATTAAAAATAAAAAAAATTCGTTTATTGTTATTTCATTATCAATTTTAGAAGTAACCAATATAAATAGAATATTTGTAAGTTTTTTTTTATTCTTTCCCGAATTCATGAAATTGCAAGGAAGTCAGAAACAATCAACTGTATGGCACGAATTGTTCTGAAGATTACAGTCTACAATATCAAGTTACCAACTAATCTACCGAAAATGTGATCTTTAAAGATGATACTCTAAACTGTCTTCTATAGAACCTTGTCTAAAATTTTCAATTTATTTTGTGCGCCATTCCTTTATTCATTTTCATTAACAATTTTTTTGGAATCACGAGTTTCGATGAAACTTAACGGTCTTCTCACTTAGGTTTTCTAACATTTTTACAAATTCTAATGATTCTTCCGGTGCACATGTTTCATATGCACGAATGATACTCACTCGAAATCTTGTTACGGTATAAACTGGACATCGAATTAACATTCTTCGGAAAAGAATATTTTGTACTAAAACGTTTAGTAATTGACAGATATTTCGATTAAAGGTGATGTTTAAAATCATCCGTATTGGGTGCTCATTTCAATAAATTATAGTTCAGCTCTATCTTTTAAATAGTATTGATAGTACAAATTAGTTTGGATGAAACAAGGTTGGGATGAAGTTTGGAATGAAGTTTGGAATGAAACAAGGAGTAGTATTATTTTCCAAATTGAGTAAGGCCTCGTTCAAAAATGATATTGAAGACTTCAATTGATGCTAATCCCATATATAACGTCAAGATAAGAGGTGAAATAAGAAATGGGACCTTTGACAAAATATATAAAAAAATAATACAAAAAAGTTCATTGTAGCAATAAATATCTGTATCTTCTTCCTTTTTCGTTCTTCGTTTGACTTTTTTTTATGTGCGTTATCTTTGTTCATTCAATATGTACATAAAAATTGATTAATTCCTAGAATCCTTTTTTCGGATTCGTTGTTGATATGGTTTCACAGATACTACAAAATTCTTACGCAACATTTGTTTCGTAGCGAGTATCACTGGCGCAGACGAACGTTTCTACATAGCGTGTAAAACGAAAGTGAAACGTCAAGCGACTAATGATTAAGTCTGCGTAATTCCATGGCTGCGATGTCGTCCACAGATATAAGCTTTTCTATGGGAATGCAAGAGAGTTCGCCACCAACACATGACTGTGGCTGTTGCCACCTGGCTTCTCTCTCTGCCTCTTTGGCTTTCAACTCAGCCTCTCTTGCCCTCCGTTCTTTTAATTTTAGGGAAAAAATCGCCACAGATCTAGCTCTCTTCATCAGGCTCTGTTTTACCCTGGTTTTCTTTGCCTCTCTTTCTTCTTTTGATGGTTTTTCTTCCTCTTGACTGGAAATTTTTTTGCTTGAATCTGAAAGACTGCTCGAGTCCTTTTCTTTCTCGGCGTAATAAGATAACTGTTGTTTGTGATCTTGAATTTCTCGCTGATGATGTTGATATTGCTGCTTTTCTGCCTTTTCTCGTTCCCTCTCTCTTTCAGGGGAGAACCGGAATTTTTGGTTTCTATGAGCTACTGTCCACGGCGGGGCGGATCTTTTAACAAAAACATTAATGTAGTCCGTTACACTGAAATTACAAGGAAATTTATTTGTATCCTTTAATTAGATGTTGAAAGAAGTAACAATATACCTAAGAAGATCACTGTCTGATGAGGAGGCAAGATCTTTTGATACGATACAGTCAGTCGATCTGTGAAGAGTCAGTTCATCTCCACTACCACTAACTGTACCAGCTCCGCTTATCTCAGAATCGCTGGATTTTCGTCCACCAGCTTCAAGACCTAATCTTCGAACCCAATCCACACCGCCATGAGGCCCGATGGTTAAGTGGTGACTGTAATGATCAGTTCCACCTGATGCTTCGGATTCGTTCTGAAGCCATTCCCTCGAACGCCTTCCTGTTTGTATATACAGAGAAAAGTATATACAGCTTTACAAAAAATATCAAAAGTTTATTTGATGAGAATCAATGAGTGGAAGCTTTCTAAATTATGCATTATGTTATACATTTCTCTATCAAACATTTATTGTACGAAGTAAAAAAAAAAACAAATAGTCGAACCTCGTTCTCCGCCAGGAATAGAACATCTAGGTGAATTGTGAATGTCACGAACGCTGCCCATATTGTTTTCTGCCAGGAAAGGAGTGTTTAAGTCACCACTGCCTGCGCTACCGGGAGTTTGAACTGCAGAAGGTGTTTCTGCGATCCTTGGCACGGATGCTGCACTAGGAGTTGGAGGACTACTGGGTGTCTGGGTGGATGAAGCTAGAGTCGGTGTATCCGGAAGACTAGAGGACGTTGCATCTCCGCTGGGTTCGGAAAGCAGTTGTTCTTCACTCTCTCCGTCTGCTGGACTCACCACGAATCTCCCTGAGTTCGAGCGAAATTAATAGACGGTAGGAGGAAGGACGAGCTTGTTGGGCGTGTTTACCCGATCAGTGGGTGAATCATCGAAAATAAAACATTATACATATATATTATTGAGAATTTATGAATTTTAATCTCAGAGTTCCTTGGAATTCCTTGAACTCTCTATATATTTTAGATGCTTTCGGTCCTGTAAATTCTTGTAGTTCTTCAAGTTCTTCCTTTCTTCTTTGAATTCCATAAATTCTGTAAGCTTTTAGAACATTTTATCCCCTTCACCAACTATATCGTATGAGACTCCTAGTAAGGAGATTAGGGGGTCGTAGATAAGACTCAACAACAGGTCAGGCTCATCGATAATTTTTGTCGGTATTTTCCGGTTTCAGTTGTGTGCCATTCTTCGTCACCATCGGAATTTGGTATCGGAATTTAAATGGTAAAGCACAAAGTTATGTTCTTTGAATTCCTTGAATTCCATCCTTCGAATCTTTTGATAGTTCCAAAAGTCTTCTAAATTCCTCAAATCTTTTGAGTGCTTAAAATTCCTTGAGTATCCCAAATTCTTCTTCCAAATATGTTGAATTCTTCAAAGTTCTTGGAATACCATGGAACTCTTCAATTTTTCCGAAATGTAAGAAATAAGAGTACATTAAATTCAATACCGATCGGGTTCTACAAGCAGGAGAATGTTTTGTAGTCGAAGAAGAAGCGAAAGAAGGAAGAGATTGCAGCGACAAGGACGAAGTTGCGTAGCTCATTATTGTTCGTTATATAAGAAAATGTAATATTACTTTTTATTTACCTATGACAGTAGTTGGATGTTGTTCTGGCGATGGTGTAGATGACAATCTTCTGACCGCTTCCCTTCTCAAAAATTCTACTTTAGCCATTTCTGTAGCTACCCAATGCGGAATATCAGGAATCGCACAGATTATAATGAAGCGTATCCCTAACATAATGTGTTCGAGGGCAACTATCAGCAAGATCGTTTGTATGGCCGACATTTCTGGGAACATTCGTTGTACTTGTCCACTTAATCCGATTAGGGCGCAATTTACTAAAATTGCAACTAAACCCATAGCTTCCATGGCATTCTAATAAATAGAAAATTCTTAAATTATTACATAAATAACATTATTTGTATTGCTTCCAAAAATGTAATTGCTATTTGTATTGGTAAATTTTTAATAAATTATATTTTTATTAATTACAATAAATTACTTTACAGAAACATTCTTAGACCAAATTTTGGTTGCAATTATCACTTACTTGCCAAGTTCCAATATTAGAGACTCTGCGGCCAAATGGTCGTTGGAGAACAAAACATAATTTGAAAGCATCACCCCGTAGTTCTAGAAGATTTCCAAGCAATGCTGCCATAGCAGCTAATGGAAAGGCTGATGAAAAGAGACAGACGTATCCCAATTGTGACAGCATTTCCAAGTGCTCTGAAAATGCGCCATCATACTGCGAATAGAAATATTTATACCTGAGTCATTTATTGATATTTTCCAGAAAAGCTCAATTATTATTATGTGTATATTATTTTTATGTGATGCTGTAAAAAATCCATTGCAGGCTTATTACTTTAAAGAAATATAAAAATATAGTTATTCTATTTAAACATTATTTTTTTTATATATGTTCACTTTTTGAATACTAAACCTGCAATAGAATCTTTCTTAATGTTGTCTAAAGAAACATTTATTGCAAAAATATTCTATCACGTAAATAGTGTATCTAGCATTGGTAGTGCCAAGGGTCACTATGCTTTTCAAATGAAAAATAAGAAGCCAGCGCTTAACATGGAGTTAGCGTGACAAGCTATGATTCATTCCATTTACCCTTACGATTATTGTACTACTTTCTATATATATATATAT